AAGTTTCCGAGTCAGTAGGAAGTATGAAGGTTTGGTTTGTGTTACAAGTACTCAAAATCAGCTGATTTATGAGCTAAACTGTAAGATGGAGGCAGTTTGTGAGAATTGCAGGCCACTTGCGGCTCCTAGGACTCATCAGCATGTTGGGATTGATCTTGAAGAAGGCTCATAGCACGGATCAGTGGAGTGGAAATACCCATAAAGTTTGTTACTGTGGACTGGAAAGTTCCACCAGCAGGACTCAAGGCTGACAAGAAAAAAAAAAAAAACAGTCTGCCTAAAGAAAAACCAACAATTGTGGCTTATCTGAATCTGACTCCCGTTTGGCTTTGGTTACGAGCCAACTATCAAATTTCTCCTAGGGACAAAGCTTGGTCTATCACACCCCCAAGAACTTCTGTGCAGGCTTATCAGAACTGCCGGCTGAAATAACGTCATCAGGACTGTGGCCTATCTGAAAGTGCTCATGGACAAATCTCAACGTCTTGACGTCAAATGCATATGTAATGTGTTTTAAATGTGCTTGCTGGTAGAGTTTTTTGATGTCTCAAATCGTGTCCTGATAGGACAAGATGTGAAGAGATCTTTTTTGTCATACCACTATCTATTCTTATGGTTCGTACCCTTTTTCTATCTAGAAGTATTCTGATAAAGAATAAGGGACCGTACTTTTTAGCAGCAGCAACGTGCAGTCCGCCCATCTTTTGGACAACTGTATGAACATAATTTCACTGTTTCCTGGCACAATGATAATAAAGCTTATTCTGATTCTGATTACAGAGCATCATGTCTCTGTCATTTACACAGAATACATTGCAGCGTAAATAAAATAGCAATGTCCGTTTGCTATTATGTTTTAGAAAATTATAAAAACCAAATGGCTTACGGTATTTTTATGGTCTTGTTGTTATAGCTTAAGTAATTGTTTATCAAATTAGGTCTATTATTCCAACTTGCTGGAGATCCCTCTAAAACTTTGCCCTTACTGTAGTCGTAATTAATTGTAATCAAATCTGTTTATTGGTTTGCAAAATATCTTATGAACCACTGAAAAGATTTAGATAAAACTTGACAGTAAATATTGGATATAAATCTACAACTGATCATCTTTTGAATGTAATTCAAGATGGACGCCACAGCCAACTGACCTAAATATCACCAAACAATAATTATACAGATCTTGAGCAAAGATTTGATGTGGTAGTAGCTGACATTTCTTCAAAACACATTCTCCAACTTATCATGACAAATCATGCAAGATAATGTTTATTTTCAAGATTTGACATAAATGGCCACAACTCCATCATTTCTCAACATGAGATGATCTCAGTCTGAAACTCTGGCATTAGACGTGTTGGGCGATATGCATTTCTCCAACGATCTTCACCTGTGAAAAGCTACCGCAAGCCTAGAACACAAATGCACTTTAATCCACTGAACTGGTGCCCGCTGTGAAAACTTATCATTCTGTCCATTTCGATATCAAAGAAAAACAAAACAGCGGCAGTGCCATTTCTCTGTCAACATTCCGGCGAAATGATGATAGATTTACGGCAACGTCTTTCGTCTTTCAGCTATTTGAGGTATCTGCTAAACAGATTGTTGCATTGATTTCTGAGAAGACAGATGGTGGAGTGCATGCTTCAAGACAACTGAAGGAATGAAGAATTGTTCAGCTCAGAAGATCAAATGTGCTATAGGCCTTGGACACGGTTTTATTGTGCGGAGGTGTATAGGCTCTCACGGACATTTTTGAATTTCTCTCTGGACCCAGTTAAAAGTGGATGAAATAGTACAAGATACTTGAAAATGAGACAGCATTTTTTTTATCACACCAAAGCAATAAGACAGGACCTTTTACATGTTTTGCAATAGTTATAATTCACTGCTAAAGGCAAAAGTTTATATTGTTTTATCGCTTGCATATCTATTAGCAAAATATCTCCTAAACTACTGCGCCTATTTTAATGAAACTTTCAGGAAATAACCACTGGATGCACATCTACAACTGACTTACTTTTGGAGCCAACCACATTAAAGATGGCCGCCACAGTTAAGCAACCTTAGCAAACACTGAGATGTTTATAACTTAGCTTATGTTACAAACATTAAGCTTAAATTTGGTGTGGTAGTAGCTGAGCATCACTCTCAACGCATACTTTGACACGATGTACAACATATTTGCTAAAACTGTTCCCATTCACTGTTAGAGGCAGAGGTCTGTTAGCAAAACATCTATTCAATTTAATTCAGTTTATTTATATAGCGCCAAGTCACGACAGAAGTCATCTCCGAGCACTGAACAGAAATGTTCACAAAAAGTAAATAACATTATTTATCTGAGGAGCTTTGAGTTTAACTTCATCGTAGACTCTCATCTTGAGCAAGCATGAAGGCGACAGTGGAAAGGAAAAACTCCCTCATGAGGAAGAAACCTTTAGTAGAACCAGGCTCAGGACAAGAGGCCATCTGCTTCGACCGGCTGGGTTTGAGGGGAACAGGAAGGAGGAACAGATACACAATGGCAGGTCAAGAATCACGTTAAGACAGAAATATTTTCTAATGAAAACTATTCAATTTTAACAATTAATTTTAAGAAATGTGGTCAATTTGTCCTCCAGTAGTGCCTATAGCAGCATAACAATCCAACCCTAACTATAGGGTTTATGAAAAAGGAAAGTCTTAAGCCCAGCCTTAAAACTGGACAATGTGTCAGCCTTAGACAGAAACTGGAAGTTGGTTCCACAAGAGAGGAGCCTGAGAACTGAAATATCTTCCTCTCATTCTGCTTTTGAAAACTCTAGGAACCCCAAGTAAGTCTGCAGTCAGCAAGCAAAGTGCTCTGTCGGGAAAATATGGAACAATAAGATCTGTAATATAAGATGGAGCTAGGTTGTTGAGGGTTTTGTAGGTTAGAAGTAAGAAACTGTGCAAATTTGAGCAAAACTTTCAGAAAATACGGTAATAACCAGGTGTGAATTTACAGCTCATTAATAGCTGGGGTCAGCCCAATTCAAGATGGCCACCACAGCTAATCAACAAATTAGTCAGTTTTACAGACGTAGAGCTAAAATCTGTGCTATCACACGTTGTGAGATCTAAATTTACAAGGTTTGATCGAAATTGCTGCAGCTCTGTTCCTTTTCAGCACAAGATGATTTTAGTTATGAAACGCCATGGATGATACGCCTTCCTGCAACAAATCATAAGACTTTAATCACCTGATTCATGCAGGCCACATATGTGATGTTACATTTGTTTCATGGCTGGAGAAATGCACCAGTTGGAAATACAGCCATGCAAAAAAAAAAAAAAAGTAAAAAATTGGACTGTCCTGGTTTTTTTTGTCTATTTAATGGACAATGAGAACAGGGCTTTGTCATAATAAATTTATCCTTTTTTTCTTCTGTAAGATCTTTAAGTACCCGCACCCCCCACCCCGCAGCCCTGCACCCCCTCCTGCAGCCTCTGGCCTTCCAAACCATCATTTTCCGTGATTGACACTTTGGGATGGTGTGCATTTCATTGATGGCTTGTGATCCTTCAGCAATCGTTGGTGCGTCACCCTAAAGCCATCTGAAGGGGTGGTGGGGGGTGGGGGGGGGACGGTTACAGATCACTTTCAAATATTCCGTCTCTTTCATCACCATCGACCAACAAAAGTAACCTGCCGTCCAGGAGTCTGCAGACACTGACCCGGACAGGGACACAGCTGCAGGTAAAGATGCCTCACCAACACATTCACTAAATGTTCCACTTTTCTCTGGATTGTTGTTTTAGTATCCAGTCGCTCCTCAGCATTTAGAGTTTTAAATTATATATATATATATATATATATTTTTTTTTCAATTTAGGAACCAAAAATGAAAGAGCAGCATTGTTGTGACATCTTCCTCCTTCATCTTCTGTTTTAGTCTAAATCCAGTCTGCTTCATTAAAGCTCACATCGAGTTTTAAAGACAATAATAATAATAATAAAAAAGTATAACTGCGAAAAGAAGTGTTAAATGTGATCAATAATCTTTGTGCCTAAAACGGCACCAGTTTATTAGATACCTGCATCATTGTAGCTCAGTTACGAAGCTGTTTAAGTACATTTCTTTAGTTCTATGGCAATTTATGTGAACTGTTTTAGAATTTAATCCAAGTGTTTTAATGATTTAAAGGGAAAAGGGCAGCTTGTCACTGTGTGATGACATTTTAGACTAAGTGTTTAATGCAGTTATGATTATATCATTAATTTCCTACCAAAAATACAACTTTTTCTCTACATATATAACCATTTATTAAAAATATGTAACCTAAATGCATTTTTTCCTATTTAGGCCTCTACAATTTTTATGCAACATATTTGTAGAGTTGTTGTTCGGAACTTATTTTAATTGTTTTAGTCCAAGTTTGCATCTGCAGCCATGATAAACGAAGGTTTCCACCACCTGCTGAAGCGTTCGCTGAATTGTAGACGATGCAGGAAACTTATGGCACCACTCTTTCATGTGTCGGGAAGTGTTTGAGGTGCGTGCTCCATTGACCCCTAGGTCACATACCATGTAAAGCAGCGGTACGTTTATCCTGTCCGTGTGCACGGTTAAAACAAAACAACTGTGATCAGGAGGAAAAAATGAAGAGAATGATGAAGGTAAGAAAGGATCGTTTCTGAGCTGTGGTCAGCTGGGGCAACGCTCAGTGGTGGGCGTGTGCAGAAGCTGCAAATATGTTGAAGAGTATATCTATTCTCCTCGCTGCTGGACCTCCCCTCGTGGTGTTTCGTCAGCCGTTTATCTCAGAGCCTCTCAGAAGCTGCTAGAGAGAGGAAAAAAAAGAAAAGAAAAGAGAAAAAGCAGGAAACCTGATCCAAATGATGGCACTATAAAGTTCATCACTGATTTCATGAGACTTCATCACTGACATCCTCCTCCTGCACCTGGTAACCTCCTGAGCGTCTCCTTCTCTCCTCAGCAGCAGCACCACTCGACTCCCGAGGAGCAGCTTTCCAAACCGGTTCATCTCGAAAAGGTAAAGTCGTTCGAAGAGGTGCTTGCTCCTGTTTTTCAGATGCACACACTTGACTTGATTTGTTCTCCCCGTTTCCTCAGACATGAACGTACTCGGCCGCATTGCCTTCTTCTTGTTGCTCGGGGGGATTTGGGCTCAGAACAACCGGAATGCCAAAGCAGGTGGCAAATCTTCGAAGAGGACTGGTGGGATCCAAGCAGGTGATGCTGGCCAGTCGGCCCCTGCTGCTGATGTTCCTGCTGGGAGCAGCAGGAGCACCGGAGGGCCCGCTGAGTCAGGACAGGAAGGCGCTGCAGGAGCCCGAGCAGCTGGACAACAGACGGACGACATGAGGCTCCACTTCCTTAGGAACGTCCAAGTCACGTGCAACGATGGAACTGCAGCCGGGTGAGATCTTCTAACACGTTTTTCATCCATCCAATGTTTGTTTGGTCAGCTTTTAAAAGCCCACATCAGTTCCTTATAGCTGCTTTATCGTCAGCCTCTCTCCATCTGTTTGTGTGCTTCTGCAGATTCTACCTAAAGGAGTTCAGAGGAAGCCGCAGGTGGCTGTTATTTCTGGAAGGCGAGTATTTACAAACTGGTTAAATTGGTCTCCGAAGGTCAGATGGTTTTGGCATGACGCCTCTTTTGGAATTTTAATGGGATGTCGTCTTGTGCCATCATCATCCGAGCCTAATTTAGCTCTTGTAACATGACGTAAGAACGACTGAACCTTTTACAAAAATCATCTGGAAATCAATCATTTCAGGACGTAGTCTCCTCAGTAGAGCAGGTTCCAGGTGCACTCAGCTCTGTTTCTGTGTCCCCCCCCCCCCCCACACACACACACAGGTCAAATGGGCTAACCAGGGTATTCCTCTCCCAGTTGTGAATGCCTAATTTTAGTCTTCTATTTTTAGGAGGTTGGTGCTGCTACAGCAAAGAGACCTGTGATTCCAGGTACCAAAATATCCCCCGACTCATGAGCTCGACGGGGTGGCCCCAGACTAGAAGAGGTTGGTGTTTAAGAATGTGTGTTGTGCATGGTTCCCTAATTCTTTAGTGAGAGAGGTCTAATGATTGATTTGGGTTTCTTGCAGGAACTGGATTATTGTCGTCTCAAGCAGAGGAAAACCCACACTGGTACAATGCAAACATCGTGTAAGTGTCCGGATCATTTTCTCTTAGAACTGTTAGAGTTCATTTGCAAATGCAGAGCGGTGAGGATGTGTTTCAGTTGGGGGTACAGCAAGTGTGTCGATTTATACGATCCTAAATCAGGGGTCTGCAATATGCGGCTCTGGGGCCACATGTGGCTCTTTAGTCTGTCATCAGTGGCTCTTTGAAGCTTTGACCTAAAACTTAATGACATTTAATTGTATTGTTTTTTATAGCCACAACAGAAAAGGCTAGTTTTGGCAGTTTTATGTCAAATTTTAGTAAATTTTTGCCAGATAACTACTAGTAAGATAAGGTAAGATAAGCACTTTATTGATCCTGCAGGAAATTGTTGAAGTAGTAAGTAACTTAGTAAGTTTCTTTTGGCTGCTCTCTGCAGGGGTCACCACTTGAAAGAAAGATTTGGCAGTTTGTTTTACACCAGATGCTCTTCCTGACACAACCTGGGCTCGAACCCGCAACCTAAGGATTGCAGGGCTGCGGTACTGGCCACCAAGCTACCACAGCCCCGCCCGATACTTATTACACATATTTTCTGGCCTATATGTCGCATAAGTCCAAAAATGTCTAATAATTTGGAAAAATCCATAAATACGTCGCTTCACCGTATAAGTCGCATCTATTACGCGTCACCGCAGACAATCTGGAAATGTGGGCTGGTGTGCCAAAAATCGATTGGCTGCCAAATGGCAGCCACGAAAGTGTGCACGGGAGGACTTTAACAAAAACATTTAACAAGATTAACACTTTAAAACAATTATTTGTTTGCTCAAAATTATATCAAAGGTGTGTCTCAGTCTAACTTTTCCTTAATAAATGCACTTTGACGATCAAATCAGCTGCATTTCAAAAGCCAATTGGCAGAGGCGAGAGCGCGCAGAGGGACGACTCGCTGTGCATTTCTTTGTAATTTAACAAGGTAATCACCTAAAAACAATTATTTGTTTGCTCAACTTTATAGTAAAGGTGTGACTCAGTTGAACTTTTACTTAATAAATGCACTTTAATGGTCAAATCAGCTGCATTTTGCAGGGGCGGCGCATGAACCTCAGCTACTACCACATCAAATCTTAGCTCCTGTTGCCCACCGCCTTTGACACCAGGTTTGTAAACTAAAAACATTTTATGAAAAGAAGGGGCGGAGTCAAAGCCGCTTTGATTAGTCCTTATAAATGACGTCATTCAAGATCTTGCGTTGTTAGCACTTGACGTATGAGCTGAGGATGACTCCAGCAGCATGACTTGATTCCAGCAGTTAAAGTCAAAGTTTGAAGCAAAGAAGTTGCACAATTAGTGCTCAAACTGTTAGGTCACATGCTCAGCTACTACCACAGCTGATTTTAGCTTCACATCTGTAAAACTGGCTGAGTTGCAGCTGTTTTGTGTTTCATAATGTCAGTTAACTGAGGTGGCCAACTTTCCCAGTATCAGGGGATAATTATGTGAACATATACAGGTAGCTGATGGATGTGTTAGAGCATTTAAAGCTTCCCTTCATTGTTTGCAGTTATGAGTTACAACTGGTAACTTCTGCTCCTCAGCTGTAAGATGTCACATTTAGCAATTCTGCTTGTTGAGAGAAAGAGACAGAGTTAACATGTTTCTTCAGTTGCATGCATCCTTTATAGACTACTGCAATGGTTTATTGTCAGGGTGTCCCAAAACTTATTTAAAAAGTCTCCAGTTGATCCGTAATGCTGCAGCCAGAGTTTTAATGGGAGTTAGTAGGAGGGACCGTATTAGCTTCTCTCCATTGGCTCCCTGTTAAATTCAGAATTGAATTCAAAATCTTACGTCTAACCTACAAAGCCCTCAACAACCTAGCTCCATTTTATATTACAGATCTTATAGTTCCATATTTTCCTAACAGTCCACTTGGTTCTCAGACTGCAGGCTTACTTGTGGTTCCTAGAGTTTCCAAAAGCAGAATGGGAGGAAGATCTTCCAGTTATCAGGCTCCTCTCTTTTGGAACCAACTTCCATTTTCTGTCCGTGAGGCTGACACATTGTCCAGTTCTAAGACTTTCCCTTTTGACAAAACCTATAGTTAGGGTTGGCTTGTTATGCTGCTATAGGCTTGAACTACTGGAGGACAAATTGACCTCATTTTTTTAAGTAATAGTTACAAAGCATACATATGAATAGTTTTCATTTGATACTATTTCTATCTCAACATGGGATTCTCGACCTGCCATTGTGTATCTGTTGTTCCTCTCAAACCCAGCCGGTCGAAGCAGATGGACGCTTGTCTTGAGCCTGGTTCTGCTGGAGGTTTCTTCCTCATGAGGACATTTTTCCTTTCCACTGTTGCCTTCATGCTTGCGCAAGACGAGAGTCCGTGATGAAGCTAAATTCAAAGCAGTCTGCTCCTCAGATAACTAATGTTATTAACTTACTTTATATATATATGTATATTTCTGTTCAGTGACCTGAGATGACTTCTGTTGTGACTTGGCGCTATATGAATAAACTGAATCGAATCCTTCTGCTCGACTTTTCAATTAAAAAAAATCATATTTGTTGTGTCACTTGTTGAAAAAGTGCAGTTGAGTGAAATAAATCATTTCACGACAGACATAAAATTAAAGCAGAAATAGCTTTTATTGGGGGGGGGGGGGGGGGGGTCCGACATCTTGAGTCTAACAAATCCTCTTGTCTTTGTGCAGATTCATCCCGTACTGTTCCAGTGATGTGTGGAGCGGAACGGGACCTGCTCCAACCCCCGCTCCGAGGACACGGCAGGGAAGGGAGAAAGTGAGGGAAAGAAACTCAAATACGAGTAAGTTTCCTTCCCGTTCTTGACGCACCAGTGTCTGAGTTGTCTTCTGATTACAGTGACTGTCCTTTATTGTTCTTAACAGCTGAGTATACTTTCATGGGTTCCCTTATTATCCGTGAGGTCATCAAAGATCTCATCCCCAAAGGTATCAAGCTGGCCAAGGTTGTCCTGCTTTCTGGTACCAGGTATGTTTGTTTTATTGCTCTTACTCTGACGGTGACCACGACTTCTGGACCCGGGCCACCATCTGGACCCTGTCCATGCCCAACATTAAACACGAGAAGGCCTATTTCGGGTGCATCCTCTTGTCAGCAATAAAGATGTTTACAGTCAACTGTGATCAGTGACATAATGTTTATTAAAGGGCCTTGGCCTGTAATGGTGAACATACCTCCCTGGTTAGCAGGATGGTTGTTGGGACACACCCACATCCTAAACCAAGATCCACTGTCTGAAAGCTACCAAAAAAAAAAAAAAGTTGGTCTCAAAGCCAACTTATTTGTTGATTTTCTTGGCTCCCCCGCAGCGCTGGAGGGACAGGTGTCCTGCTGAACATCGAGAGGGTTGCCAGTCAGCTGGAGCAGCTCGGTGCCGAAGCTCAGGTTCGAGGTCTCGTAGATTCTGGCTGGTTTCTGGAGAGCAAGCAGCAGAGATCTCCAAACTGCCCCGAGACCGTTTCCTGCTCGCCTGAAGACGCTATCAAGATAGGCCTCAGGTAAGACCTTCTGGTGGCCTTTAAAGATTTATTTTATTGATGTGGACTTGGAAAATAAAAATTTAAAATGATTATAGCTGCAGAGGTTTAATGAAAGAACGGCCCTGCATCATAAAAACGTCTTTTCAAGTTTTATTATTTTGCTTCCTTCTCTAACTTCGTCATACAACAGCACGAAAACTACAAAAATAAAATAAATACAGATGTCACTTGTTCAGGCCTCATGTTAAGTGTTTAGAGCAGCAAGTGTAAAAAACAAATCTAATCAAATACACAAATGCACTTTACTTTGTCCTTTAAAGACGTTTAAACAAGAAATAAAATAGTTACCTCGTATGCCTCTTGAACCACATGAAGATAGTGATCATGTGGGGTCCACATCTGTGTCCCCATTAAATACTGTATATCCCATGATGCAACAGTAATGTACAAAATAGTTGTGTCCTGATACTGATACTAGCCTTAAGGACTTGTACCTGTACTTGTAAAAGCAACCTGATACTTCGAACTGATGCCAATTTCATGCTTGGTGTTGTCGTATCCTCTTCAACTTTGCAGAAACCGAGGACAAAAAATAAAAAATGTTCACAGTTTAGAGATATTTTAAGAAAACACAGGTGTTAAGAAAGCAGAATGTTTGCTGTGTTCTTACTAAAAGAAATGTGTTTTTAAAGTCATGTGTGTAACGTTTAAGTATTAACTCATAAATTCAGACATGGGAAAAGTAAGGCCCATGGGCCAAAAGTGGCCCTTGGATGATCTCCATCAGGCCCGCAATGTCCTTAGTTCAAAAGAAAACAACTTTTTTTTTTTAAATAAATTGATAAAAAAAATAAAAAAAATAAAATATATATATCAACAAAACAAGGAAATTTAAATTAAATTTCTTACAAAAAATATTTAAAAAAAACAAACTTTTTTGTCATTTTGTTTCCAGAACTAGCCCGAACCGTAGAGACATAGAAATACAAATACATAAGTTTGTTTTGCACATTTCCACTAGCATGTATAACATGTTAAGCTAATGTGTATAGTATAATGTCACAATAGCCAGTTTACAAAATATGTCTTCTATTTCTAAAGGATATTGGAAAGACATGTCTTTATAAAACTAGCTAACTATGCTATACAACAATTCTCCATTCGGCCATTTGATTGCTTTAAACATCTTGAAATGGCCCTTTGGAAAAAAAAAAGTTGCCCATCTCTGCATTAACTCGGTATTGGTCCTCATTAAAAGTACCAAAACCAACCTGAAGTACTTGTAACTGGTGTGAAAAAACCCCCAAACAAACTAGTATTGGAACATGTTTAAGGTACGGAACATGCTTAACTTCTCTCCATTAGCTCCCTGTCGAATTCAGAATTGAATTCAAAATCTTACTTCTAACCTACAAAGCCCTCAACAACCTAGCTCCATCTTATATTTGAGATCTTATTGTTCCACATTTTCCTAACAGAGCCCTTCACTCTCAGACTGCAGGTTTACTCGTGGTTCCGAGAGTTTTCAAAAGCAGAATGGGAGGAAGATCTTTCAGTTATCAGGTTCCTCTCTTGTGGAACCAACTTCCAGTTTCTGTCTCTGAGGCTGACACATTGTCCTGTTTTAAGACTGGGATTAAGATTTTCCTTTTTGATAAATCCTATAGTTAAGGTTGGCTCGTTAAGCTATAGGCTTAGACTACTGGAGGACAAATTGACATTTCCTTAAATGAATTGTTAAAATTGAATAGTTTTCATTTGCTACTATTTCTATCTTAACGTGATTTTTGACCTGCCATTGTGTATCTGTTCCTCTCAAACCAGCCGGTTGAAGCAGATGGTCGCTTGTCCTGCGCCTGGTTCTGCTAAAGGTTTCTTCCTCATGAAGGAGTTTTTCTTTTCCACTGTCGCCTTCATGCTTGCTCAAGATGAGAGTTCTGTGATGGAGTTAAATTCAAAGCAGTCTGCTCCTCAGATAAATAATGTTAACTTAACACCCCTAGTACATTTTCAAACCTATCTTATTTTAACCACTAATTCTTACATTTTCAGAGGCTTTATCGACTCAAATGTTTATGAATTCATGACAAAACACATAAAAAGTGAAATCACACGGAAACATTTCTCTCAGAGAGCAGCTTATTATTGACAACCGTGGGTCCTGTTTCCTCAGGCTGTGGAACGGAGCTGTGCCTGATCGATGCTGGCAGCTTTACAAGAGAGGGGAGGAATGGCAGTGCTTCTTCGGTCACAGACTTTACTCCACCTTAACTTGTGAGTTTTGACTCCTGTTTATCAGAAATAATGTGGGCTTTAATGCGAAGGCACAGATATTGGACTGTTTTAAGCGTGTTGGGTGGTTCTGTGGGCCTCGAGCTGCAGCTCAGCAGTTTTGTGATATAAGGTTATCCTGGCGGGAGAGGCTGCAGCTGTCAAGAAGAGCAAAATTAAAAAAAAACACACACACAAAAAAAAAAAAAAAACATTTCACCGTGATGCACAAAGTCTCACATCTCATTCGTCCAGGCTTTAAAAAGTCAGTGTTCATGCTTCATATAAATATTACTCATAAAGCTATAACTATCTATAATTATAACTAACTATACTCTTGTAAATGAGTCCCGGAGGCTCAATAAGACTAACCTGTATAAATAAAGGTTGAATGAATGAATGAATCTGCTATTGACTGCGGTTGTGGTGGCTGTATATGGTTCTGCCGCATGCTATTTAGGCCCGTTAAACAAATACAATGTTAAATTGCCGATATGTCTTGTTTTTATCTTTTTTTTTTTCCTTGGATCATCTAGTTTGATAAATGACACAGGTCTCTCTTATAAATGAGTCCTCGTGGCTCAATGGGACTAACCTGTTTAAATAAAGGTTGAACGACACCTAAGAAGAGTGAACAGCAGAATAAGCTGTTAGAGATTTGGTAAATTCTTCATAAATGCTGATTTTATTACAAAAAATGAAATAAAATTTGACTTTTAAGACCGTTTCTTTGAAGGTGGACAGCAATAAGTAGCTGAGAATTTATTGAAATTGACAGCTGTGACAGTTTTAAATGACTGAAGAACAAGTGGATATATCCTGGGAATTAGTACCAACATAACAAAAATGTTTATTGTGCGTTTGTGTGTGTTAAAAATAAAAAAGGAAAATAGGGTTTTATAGTCACCTTCTCAAGCAGAAACCAGCACAATTGAGTTTTTGAGTCAGAATTGTCACGAGTACCATATTTTTTGGACTATAAAGCGAACCGGATCATAAGGCGCAATATCAATAAACGGGTCTGTTTTCAAACATAAGGCGCAGTGGATTATAATGCACATTAGGCAAAACAAAACAGTCATATGAGTCAAACTTTATTCAACTTATTCACAATAACTCTCAATATTCAGTTGTACCACATAAAAGCCGATCAAGGTCAGTAGCACAACCAGAATTAATACATAAAGCGCACTGGATTAAAAGGCTCGCTGTCGATTTTTGAGAAAATTAAACGAGTTTAAGTGTGCCTTATGGTCTGAAAAATACGGTAATATTAAAACTTCTGTTTAGTAATGGGTGTTACTGCAGAGCAGCCATAATAACACTAATTTAAAGTCGTGCCCTCGGGCAGCTGATATACATAAAACCAGTTTGCTTTCTTCTCTCCTGCTTCTACTTAAAAAAATAAAAGAAATGTTCTCTTTACGTTAGTGCAAAATGAAAATGAACTTTTTTTTGGTCAGTCACGTGCAAATTCACCAACCTAAATTATTTTTTACCACAGCTAATAAAAATAATCAGAGATTACTTAACTTAAACTCCCTTTAAAATAAAAAATATATCTTTAAACAATGTCTCATCGAAGGGATGTAACACAAATTAAAATTAATTCAACGTTTTCTACCAGCAAACTGATCGGTGATTAATTTATTTATCTGTCAAGTCAAATAATCTTTTGCTCATCACTTCCTAAATGTGAAAGGGATAGTTCAAACCTTTTAAAGTGGAGTGAATATCTTACCTGTTGTAGATAGCTTTAAAAACTAAATAAAACAAGTTACATGAAAGTGTTTCGTTTTGATCAATCGCTAGTCCGAGCAAGGCTGAGGTCGAAGTGTGTTGCTGCATTATAAAATGACTCCAGCCTCAAAAATGTCATAACTGTTCATGCAAACGTTATTTTATAAACCTTTACGCTTCTGCCAGTTTCATAACTGTATTAATTAATGTTGGTACGAATCATTTTGAAATGTTAGCTTGCGAGTCCAGTCAGAAAAACTTTGTTTCTCCACACTGAGATCACTCTAAGTGCTATCTACAACAGGTAAGATATTGTTTATCCATAACTTTTCCACGGAACCCCACTTTAAAATATCCAAACTATCCGTCTGAGTGCTGAGAATCTCTTTGTCTGTTGTGTTCTGATCAAATTAAGCGTTCTTAATTCTCTTTTTATTTCCTGTAGCTCCTCTGTTCATCGTTCAGTGGCTGTTTGATGAGGAGCAGCTGAGAGGAGAAAACATCTACCTGGGGGGTCAGAGTCTGTCTGAAGAGCAGTGGCAGTACATGCAGAACCTGGGCTTGGAGCTCAAAAACTCCCTGAGAGACGTCACGTGGGTTTCCAACGCCAGCGGACACTCGACTGTCCAAACGTTTGACACATTAGCGAATAAAATCAAATTGAAGTTAGCTTCAAATTAAAGATTAATTTTCTTTGTGATTCATTTCAGGGCGGTGTTTGCTCCATCTTGCCTTTCTCACACAGTTATTACCAAAAGGTAAGAGCAGACATTTGGTGATATTCTGTTTTTATTTATGCCCCCCAAAAATTATTCTTGTCCTCTTTGAACACATTTAACCCCGGTTATAAAGAATTTGGGACAATGTGTAAAATGTAAATAAAACAGAATGCATCAATTATCAAATCTCGTGAACCCATGTTTTATTCCCAGTGGAATGTAATAAACACAATAAATGCTAAAAAAATATGAAATAGTATTACCATATTTTTTGGACTATAAGGTGCAACTCACTGTTGATTATTGAGAAAATTAAAGGATTTTAAGTGCACCTTATAGTCCGACAAATACGGTACTTCTTTGGAAAAAGAGAACGGCAGATCTGAATTTTATGGCAGCAACGTATCTCAAAAAAGTTTGGACCGGGGCAACAAAAGGCTGAAAACATGTGGAAATAATGAACAGCTGGAGGAGCATTTTGCAATTAAATATGTTAATTTGTAACAGGTCAGTAAGACGACAGGGTATGCAACAATCAGAAGTAAAGATGGGCAGAGGTTCACCAGTCTATGAAAAGCTGTTGGAAAATATCCTGATGCATGCATCCAGGTAGAAAAATCAATCTCTGGACAGATTTTAAAAAATGTTGAAACATTTCGTCTTTTATCCAAAATACTTTGTTAGTCTGAGGAGCTGCACTAAACTCAGTCTTATGAATAGTACCTTCTCATAGTGGATCAACCAGTTTGCTGGTGACAGCCAAAACTCGTAGGTGTTCAGATGATCAAGGAGGACCATCAGCCCAACGAACGTTAGGCCGTTTGTGATACTAGCAAAAACAGCATTGTAAGAAGGTGACAATTGAACACGGAGGCCTCTGCCCTTTTTTAATGATGGATGGTTTCTCTTCACAAAGATGGCTTCCTTCACTCCTCTCTCAAACCAGTGTTCCTTGTCACTGCACGATCTGTTCCGGAAGCACGATCCGTACTGTCAGTTCATTTGTGCATGCGCTAAAAGAAATATTTCTGGGTTGCACGGATCACCGTTGAATATGCTATGTCATTCCCCGATCTGTTACGGAAGCACGATCCGTAGTGTACTTTCGGGTCGCACGGACCGCTGTTGTTTATGATTAAGAATTGTCTTAATTTACTTGGAAAAGTACGCGCTCTATCTCCGCCGATCTTCATGTAGCTAATTTACACCACTCGTAGTTCCATTACAAACCATTGGTTAAGATGATATGAGACACATTAGACCTGACCCCCATCCTGGGCTGAATGCGAAAAACCCTGCAAGATACAGAATGAATTATTTCCAAGGTGAAACAGCGCCTCTCAGTGGTGAAGCTGCATATCATTTTAACCATGACGTAAATATGTCAATGATTTTAATGAGTGGCGTAAATAAGCAACATGAAAATCGGCGGAGATAGATATAAAATTTTTCTAAGTAAATTAAGACAGTTTCTTATTCATTAACGGAATTATACCTGTGCATTTTCCTTAATCTAGCATATTCAACAGCGATCCGTGCAACCCGGAGGTATTCCTTATGGCGCATGCGCACCCGGGTGAAAACAAAACATATGCAAGTATAATGATATTTAATATATTAAATCTATTTGCGAAATTGTAAGAAAATACATTGTAAATATATTCTTTTGAAACATCTTAAGTTGTACTTAAGTGTGTTGAAACAACTTAATATGTACATATTTTATGCTTGAATAATACATTTATTTGTTTTAATTGTATTTATAATGTATTTGCTTAGTACTGTTAATAAAATTATTATATATTATAAATATAGTATAAGTCTTTATTAAATACCTTATAAATGTGCTAATATTCAATATAACAAGAGGTTTGTACATTTAAACTTATTTATTAAACACAAAAAGTTGCATACAGTACATTCTATGACAGACTAGGCAATTTTACATGTAACAAAAATGATACGACTAATAAAGAACAAGAACAGCTGACGGTACGGATCGTGCAGTGACGTTCCTCTCCATGCTGTTATTGCTAGTATCACTCAGCCCTCTGTGAAAAGCAAGCGGCCATCAGGGCATAGGCTGATGGTCCTCATTTATCATGTGAACAGCTAGTTCTGGCTGTCACCAGCAAACTGTTTGAACCACTATGAGAAGGTGCTATTTATAAGACTGAGTTTAGTGCAGCTCCTCAGACTGACAAAGCCTTTTTGAAACGTTTCAACACTTCTTTTTTTTTTTGTCCGTCTAGTGGACTTGACTTAACTTTGTTAGATGTTGGAAAACAGTGGAACAACTTCAGAATAATCGTCCTCAACAAAAACAATTAGAAAGACTTTGAATGTGCCGTTAGATTAGTCGTTTGTAACGCCTACATTTCCTGTGTGTAGCAACTGGATAAGTTTCCAAGTTAAAGGCGTCAGTCTACCTCGAGCCCTGCACTGCTGGGACAGAAGTCTGGAGGCAACACGCAACAACAGAACTCCTGCTAAAGGCTGTCCTTTCCACCTGGTGGACACCTGCCAGTGGCCTCAGTGCAACCCCACCTGCCCAGCTTTGGTGGACCGGGCCACCCAGCAGGAGCTTACTTTGCTCCAGATGCTGGTGGCCATGGGCCTTGACCCCCAGAGGCTCGGCCTGGATCCCCAGGGAGATGCGGATTCTCTGGTCAGCATGGTCAGTAATGGTGGCTAAAAGGTTTCAAAACACAGTTTAGGAGAACGAAGGGTGGGAATAAATGTGTTGAATATTTAGTGTAACCATAGAAAGTCTGTAGAAACCTGGTTACTACGTGTTGTCCTGCTCAGCATTCCATTATGCTCCACATGTTCGTTACATCAGAGACTGGTGTGTGTGTGTTGCTGCATCTGGGTTTGTTTGGTTTAGCGGGCCCTCTATTGGACACCAGAGGACGGAGCTTCAAGCTGAAGGTATTTCAACCATCCGGGTCGAAGAGCTTTAAGCTTTACCAGATGGCTCGACATAACCTGCAACACACTTTCATCCGGATCACTTTCGTCTCCAACCACTGAGCACGATAGATGGGTGCAACAAATATCATAGAATAAAACATACAATTGCACGTCTTGAGATTTTATTCACTGAATTAAAAATGTGTGGAAAATTGTGTTCTGGTTCTTGAACATTACATAAAATCCAACAATAAATCAGAACAGTTAAAACAGCAGCAATGGTAATTTATAGTTTGTGCACAGGGACACTAATGATTTTTGGTGGCTTAGTTTTGTTTGTAGCTACTGGTGCTATGCTAACTAATGTATATACATTCTGTAATATCTATGCATTTATTTTATTATGCATGCAAAAGAAAAGCGTGATTAGTTAATGACGTGTTAGCCTTGCAGTCCAGCAAATTAGGATTTGACTATGTTGTCGTATATAATCTGTGAGGGGGAAACAGGAGCGTGTTCGACATGTGAAGTGTTTAATAAAAAAAACCCAACGCTGTGGTTATTCACCGCTCAGATGACGTGAAGGCACACTCTACATGTTATTGTCTAACTGTTTATCCTGCCACGTTGTGCTTGTCTTTATTGTGACATTTATAGAACGATTTTCAGTTATGTAAACGCAGCTCATGTACATGTGAAAACATGGATTAAATAAACTTGGGAAACTTATATTGTTTTTTCACTCTCTGTTTTTTTTTATCGCAATTTTATTTGAAAAATTATTACTAACAGTGGCTTGTATGCAAATATCTTTGATCTCTTTATAATCAGAAAAGGCATATTCTGTTTTTAAATCTTTTATAACAGCACACAAATAAATCAAAATGCCAGATAATGATTATTTATATTTATAAATATATTTAAACCCTTTGCTCTAATATATCTCCTGGCAGCAGTCAGTTGGAAGACTTACATCTATGATTGATTAACTGTTAGTTACCTTGGTTCAAGATGGCCACCACAACAAAGTCACAAAAAAGGATATAACAGTCAAATTCAGAGATATTGAACTAAAACTTGGTGTGGAAGTAGCTGAGAGTCATTCACAACACGTACTCTGAGCATGACGCATTGCAGTGAGATCGTACAATAATGTATGATATGACACAATCTGTCATTCACAAGTCATCCTGATCAATAATCCAGATGAATCTAACAAGGTTCAGTCAGGTCCTCTGGATGGATTCTTCTTTGTTGAAACGTTTTGTCCCAAAAGACTTTGTCAGTCTAATGAGCTGCAACAAACTCAGTCTTATAAACAGCACCTTCTCATGGTGGATCAACTAGTTTGCTGGTGACAGTCAAAAGTAGCTGTTCACAGCAGCTCTGTGGTACAGAGTCCTGATGACTCCTAACTTGTGCTCCAAAGGGTGATGGGAGTCAAACTACAAATACTGGTCTGTGTGGGTGGGTTTGTGGTACACCTCAGTTTGCAAATGTCCTCTATCAGAGACTGAGACCTCACAGTCCAAGAAAGCCAACCTGCCATTTTTTACATCTTCTCGTGTGAACTTGATGTATTTATCCACAGAGTTGATGTGGTCAGTAAAATGTTGGACTTCCTGAGATTTAATTTTAACCCAGGTGTCGTCAACATACCTGAACCAATGACTTGGTGGTGTTCCTGAAAAGGACGTCAAGGCTCTCTTTTCTACCTCCTCCATGGGCAGGGGGGCACTGCTTTCCCTCTGGGGAGGGCCTGGGTGGTTCTGGGGGATGTCTGCTGGTGGCTGCATGCAGGCCCTCAGGTGGTCTGTGGCGGCGGTCGTGGGTCACCGATCTGGTAGCCTGGCTGTGCTGGTGTGGGTTCGGGGTGGGCGCGGGGGCTTGGGGTTCTGGGGGCTTATCGCCCCCGGGCTTGGGCCTGTGGGGTTCGGGGATCTTGGGCTCTGGCGGGCGGGTTGCCGGGCTCTGGGCCGGCTTGCGCCCTGGTGCCCGGTTCTGGGCGGGGGCCTTCGGCTCGCTGGTGGGTTGTGGGTTCATGGGCTGGGGGGTTGGGTGTTTGGGGGCGTGACCAGTGGCCCCTAAGAGGGGGTAGTTTGACCCAGCCTAGGTGTCTAGTGTGCTATGTGTTTTGAGAGATGTCCGAATGAGGGGTGGGTGTAGTATTTCTTCTGGGGTGGGGATGGGGTGGATGTCCTTGGGGGCGGCCCGGGACTGTGCATGGCTGGCTGGCTGGCCCCTTTCCTGTGGTGGGGGCTCGCTCCCGGTGCTTCCTGGCACTGTCGGCGGTTGGGCGGGCGCTCTTGGCCGGGTCGTCCTGGTGGGGTTTGGCTCCATCTGGTAGCGGGCTGACTGCGGTCTGTGGGGGTCCTGGTGGCCCTCGGGTGTGTAGGCTGCTGGTGCGGCTTATGGCGGCCCTCGGGGCTCTGTCCCTCTCTGGTCTGGAGCTCAGCGGGCCTGGCGGTCGGTCCAGATGGAGAGGTGTCTTGGCCTCAATCCCTGGGTGGACCTTGGGGGGGGGGGGGCTGTTGGGTCAGTGGGGGAGCTGACTCCCTGTGGGAGCATTTGCTCTCACAGTTATTTCTCCCCATCCCTCACCATGCACCTCCACCCTCTTCATTTCAATTCCACACATTTAGGGTTGTTTGGGCTCGGGTGTGCTGCAACAATTTTACATCTTTGTTGACCATAGCCACCTGGGACTCAATTTTATTGTACACCTTAGACATTCATTCATAACATCCTCATGACATTCATATATAGGAATTTGAAGTGGGCACATGGCTATGGGTGGTGGGATGACTTTACTCTCACCCCCTGTGCCTGTGCTCACTTACAACGGTTACATTTAGACACTAGGGTTTGGATAGAGTTGGGGTGGAGGGGAAACTGGCACCATGCCAGCCTTTGCTCCTTCTTCTTTCCTTTTTAATGGCACTCTACAACAACACACATCAACAGCACATCTAGGGGTGGGGGTGTATGTGTCGGGGTCTTATTTTTATTTATTTATTTATTTTTTTTCTCTCCTCTTCCTACCCACCTAGTTCCCTGACTGCCATTCCGGGGGTGGGGTCCGGGAGAAGGGCAGGCCGTCGGGTGTTGACCAGGACTATGTGGGGGTTCGGGGTCTGGGGGTTGCCGTGGGCGGTGCTGGCGCTGTGCTCTCCCTGGGGTTGTTTGGACCCCCTGAGCTTGGCTCTTGGGTGCCATGGTTGGCCCGCTGACCGGGGTGGCTGCCGGGGCCTGGCAGGCGGTCGGCTGGGGGTGCGTGTTTGGTTGTTGACGGTGTGTGGGGGTGGTTGGTGGCGTGTCCTCTTCATGGTGGGGGGGTGTCCTGTCGGCGGGGCATGGCCTGGGCCGGTTCTGGGGTATTGGCTCTTCTCCGCTCAGGAATGAATGGGTTTACCTCCTGGGTTTGGGCATGGGCTGCCCCCCTGTAGAGGGCGGGTACATGTCTTGGACCTGGGGGGTTTAGAGTGTGTATCGGGAATAAGAATGAAATGTATCGTTATTGTATGTCTTTGAGTGAATGAATGTGAGATTGAGGTTGGGATAGTGTGATTGTGTCTGTGTATGAATGGATATTTGTTAGGCCAAGACTCGGACTGCCCCCTCTTTGATACAACTGGGGGTGCTTGGCATCGCGCCCCTATCGCGCGGCCCCCTGGTGGGGTGTGCCCTTGCCTGCCGGCGCGCTTGGGGCCCTTGGTATCGGGGGCTGGGCGCTTGGGCGTGTGTCGGCTCGGCCTGGTGTCTGCCTGGTGGGGCTCGGGTCCTCTGGCCCTGTCAGGCCTTGGCCTGGGTGGTGTGAGTCCTCGGTGCCCGGGCCTCGGTGCCTGGACCTGGACCTACATCGGTGCGGCGGGTGCCGACGGGGGCCTATGAGTTTGTCGCTGTTGGCCCCGGGGGGTCACTGTATGTGGTTGCTGGTGGGGATCTTCCGGTTCTCCCCTGTGGTCCGTTCTGGGGGGTGGGTGAGTGGTTCGTCCTGTGTGGGTGGCTCTGGGGGCTCCGCGGTCGGGGTCCCTCCTGGGGTCTTGGACTCTGGTCCCCCCTTTTTCATCTGCCTCTGGTCTTGGGGGTCGGGTCTCTGCTGCTTCACAGTTACTAATAAATGTTCTATTAGAGAAGCCTTATACACTTATGCATGCTCACAACCACACACAAATAGAAGCAGGGATGCTTATTTAGGCTTTATATGTAGATATATAGATATGTATGTGAGTGTATATTCATGTGTATGTATGTATGTATGTATATAGGCGTAGGTATGGGTATATATATTTATGGAAACTTACTGCAAAGCCATGAATATTTTAAGTTCTTTATACATATGTATTTTGTTGCTATGTTTTGTCATGTTCTTTGCAGGTGAACAGACAGTGGCCGGGTGTTTTGACGTGTGCTCTATTTGTATATATTTCTTATATTTTGGAGTCTTACTTTGTCTTTTCTTTCTTTCTATCCTATTGGGAAAAAAAAAAAAAAAAAAAAAACAATAGGAGAAACTGGAGACCCCATAGCACACCCATGTTTCTGCCTATAATATTGCTCCCCATATGTGAAGTAGGTTGACTGCAGGCACCGTTTCAGTTGTTCTGTGGAAAGCGTGGTCCTGCTGCTCAGAGTGGTGTCTGATTTAAATCTTAAACTGACCACCTCTACTGCATCATCAACAGGAATGCACGTAAAGAGTGATGTGACATCAAAAGAGACCATTGTGACAGAGTTAATCATGCTAACAATAGGTCTTAGGTTGTTTTCACACCAGATAGTCCGGTAGACTGGGTTCGGTTTGGGACCAATATTCATAACATTTTGTTTACATTTGAGCTGGTGCGTTTGCATTCACACTGCACTGTGCAGTCGAGTCAACCTGTTGAACCAACCTATTCCCCCGCTCGCCTGTGGGGGCGCTGCACCGAGAACTACTGAAAGAAACGACACAAAAATCTGTGAAGACACGTCTTCTTCTTCTTCTGTAAATAAAAATAAAAACGAAGTGGCATCAAGTTTTAGCAGTTTTAGGAGTTATATTTTGTCATTTTTCAAAAATGGACTTAGCATGAGCAGAAGATGAGACAGAAGACCATGGAGAATATTGTTTTTCCACACAAGGCAGCTGACGGCTCCATATGAGGTCAGAGAAATGGTGTTTGTTTACCCTGCGGAGCGGGTCCGGTCTGTTTACATTCACACTGCACTCGAACCGCGCTGGAGTTCGCTTCTACCGGACCGAGACCTAGGTTTTAGCCCAGGCCAGAGTTTGCCTTTTTGTTTCGTGACATAGTTCGATGGCGCGTTCACACCTCCCTAAACAAACCGGACTTTCTAGGAAAACGAGCTAGAGTTCGATTAAAGCGGACTAAACAGGGCTGGTGTGAATGCACCCTTAAAGGTACACCTTGTTGGTGAATTTTAGGTAAACCATACAGACTAGGTGTGAAACGGGCCTATACGGTCATTAGCCTCGCCCTGCTCCAAATGTTTCAGGTGCTCTATGAACTTCTTGTAAACACTTCATGGATCTCTTTTCAGCAGCTCATATGTGGTTATGTCACTAAGTAGTAACTATCATAACTTTCTCATGATAGTCTTTCTGGTTCAAAATCAATGTGCACCTTCCTTTCTGCTGGGAGGACGATGATGTTCTTGTCCTTGCCCTTAGTAAGAATCCTTCCAGAGGACCTGACGCAATCTTGTTAGTGTCATTCACAAGGTTTGACAAAAAATGGTAAGGTACTCTGTCCCTCATCAATACATGATGTTAATTTTAAACTCTGGCATGAAAAGCAGCAGGCAATAAACATTCACTTATGGAATTATTTAATATTTAGACTTTTAACAAATATTGTACAGTATGTATATGACAATGGTTTGCAAATACTTGTCAAGCTGCAATTACGGATATAAATTTAGCTTAAACTGTAATGGCACTGATTAAAAAAAACATAGTAATTGTTTTGAAAAGAATACGTGACAAATGAAACGACTGTAAACATAAAAACCACAATGTCGAGGTATGGAGTTTGTAAAATGTAAAATTCGTCTATTTTTCTTATTAAAAACGAAAGTTAGGCAAGAAAAAACGGAATTTTCGTTGTGGAGTGAACTATCTTTCGTTCAAAACGTCTTGGATTTTTTTCCCCATAATGCACTGGCGTTTTTTTCAACTTCCTCTTTCCGCCATATTGCAGAACCGGTAAGATGTCTTTTTACAGAGTCACTTACAATCCTTAACGAATCTGAAGCATCTAAATGGTAAATTAAAAAATTACGGTCCCTTGTTGAAGTGAAAGCACACTGTAATGATTTGGGATGGTAATTTCCTCCATTCATAAAGCGACTGCGTCACATTTTGTTTAATAAACTCCCACCTCTCCTCGGCCCTAAAACCGATGCGTTCAAGGTGCCTAGAAAAATATAAACCCTGTTACAAGCGGAGGTCTTCTGCTCTCATTCCAAAGTAAAACACGTCCATTCCGTGAATATTTGGTGGTTTAGTCAAAGATTTTAGCTCTTCGGTGTCTTACCAGTCATTGTAGACAGCTAAGCTAACTATGCTAACTAATGTCTAGGGGTTCAGATGAACCATACGTTTGTTGGAAGCTGTTTTTTTATTTTTCAGGGAAAATGATCATTGTCTACGAGTTTATGGCTGATTTGTAGAAATATTGGTCCATAGCAGCTGGTTAAAATGGACAAGGTTGATGTAAAATCAGTGAGAGGATGCTAAATAAATGCTAGCTATGCTTTGCTAGTTATCCTAATATATTGGGCCATAATTCGAGTTTTAATGCAGTTTATATATCTTTTCATGTGCCATCATAAATGTCTCTTTAGTAGTCAACATGTGCTTTAAATATGAAAATATGACTCAAATAGCTAGTCTATTACAATATGGTGTTCACAACTTAATGTTCTTTGTGCTTGCAGGCATCATGGTGCGCATGAACGTTCTCGCGGATGCGCTCAAAAGCATCAACAATGCTGAGAAGCGTGGGAAACGCCAGGTCCTCATCAGGCCCTGCTCCAAGGTTATTGTGCGCTTTCTAACCGTCATGATGAAGCACGGTGAGTGGGTTTCAGTCAGACTGCTGAACTGTCAGGTTTATTGCACGATATGCGCATATATGGTAAAAGATGCTTATTAGAAGTCACTTTTCCATTGAATCAGAAGGTTTTCCTTTGATGGAGGGTGAAGACATTCGATACACCATAAGATTTATCTGAAACCCTGTTTTTTAAAAATCTGAACAGGGTACATTGGTGAGTTTGAGATCATTGACGATCACAGAGCTGGAAAAATTGTCGTCAATCTCACGGGAAGGCTGAACAAGGTAAAACTGCATTCACTTTGCACTTGCTCTTTTGCCAAATGTTAATTCAGCATAAATTCGGCTCAATGTATTTTGTGTTCAGATGTGTTTGTGGCAGCTTGTCTTAAGAAAACTGAAATCTATTAAAGCTGTTCGTTTTTGTCTTGCGTGTTGTTTTTGGAGCGCCAACCAGTGTTTTTTCTGTCCTCTTCCAGTGCGGTGTTATTAGTCCACGTTTTGATCTTCAGCTCAAAGACCTGGAGAAGTGGCAGAACAACCTGCTGCCTTCAAGACAGTTCGGGTGAGAATAACTTTTATTGACTTTTAAAAACTATTCATCTGTACAACGTGGTAAAATAAGTCATGTCATCTGAAAGAAAAGACGGAGTTTAACAGTCCTTGTGTGAAGGTCTGGTCTCCTTTCAAGGAATAATGCTGTGGTTTGAAGCATGTTCAACTTTTCTGATGCTTAATTTCCTGGATCTTGAGTTGGGAGTCTTTTGAATATATATATATATATATATATATATATAATATATGTGTGTGTGTTTAGAGTATGAATTATTTGAAACAACTGCAATGTGAATGTTCGTGCTGAATACCTAAATTGTAGGACAAAAAAAAATAAATCAGCTATCTTGGTTATATAATCTGAGATTGTCCAACGAGGTCCTTTAAGTCTTTCAGGCAGTAGACTTATGATTGAGCTGACCTTTATTAATAAGAATACTTGGGGAGGAAGGTATTTATGTTTTTTTTTTTTTTTGTTAGATTACTTCTATAGACGATTAAACGTTGCCTTTTCAGTCCCTTCATAGCTCAGTAATGTCTAAATTTTGACTGATATGGTTAAAGTAACTCTTTAAATGTCTGTGAACCGTTCTAAATCTGAACAAGAGCAGGGTCCGAGGAGTAACTCCAGTTCAGAGCTGACCCTTGCTGGGGTTTATACTGACAGTGTCAGTCTGACAGAGGCTCACAAGACAATTTCATAAAAACTAACAAAAGAAGGAAAAAAAAAACTTCATACAATTACCAAGACAAAATAAGTTTTATTGCTCTGTACTATTTCACTCTTTTTGTGATAAGTTGCTCATAAAAGTGGATTTGATTTTACATTTATGTTGAGATGATGAACTCAAGATGGGTTTTAAAAACTTTAGTCACTAAGTTTATATGTTAGACAAGCTGAGCAGAACATCAAGCATTCATATTTACATGTGTTTTGTTAAGTACAAAGAAAGAGACACTACATGACTACAGAACCATAATCCCAACTAAAAACTGTTTGTTGTAATAAAAGGTTTTTATTTGGCCAAAATGTAGCAATTTATAAATAATAGAGAAGCAGCAGTGTTTTCCTTAGGTTACCTGCCTTGGCAAGGCGCTCGTCTCTTTTTCAGCTAGTGCGTCTGTTACGCGCTGCTAGCTTAGCGCTTCATCTGTTGTCAACGACGGGGGTGGACAGTTCAGTAGTGGTGGGGCTCTTGGTTCTGTTGACAGGGCGGGACGCCCTTCTTGTATAATGGTCGGGGAAAACACTGAGCAGTATATTCAGTGTTTTTAAAAAATTGTCTTATCATTGATGTAGAATAAATCCATGAATGCAAAGAACCTATCTGTGTCTTACGGTGCCCAGAGGTGGAATTGATAAAATGGGGAACACCTCTGTATTAACTGCTGGACAAAATATTATCAAATATTATTTTCAAAATATTATTTCACCTCTAAATTGACAGAAATCACGAAAAGGGAGCTCCAAATTGTCTCGCTGGTCATGATGTGAAGGCTGTTCTTATACACTGATGGAAAAGTTGATCCAGACATGCTGGAAAAAAACTGTGTACACTTAAAAAAAATTTTACTCTTAAAATTAGAATGAACTACAACATTATGTAGTTGTTGTTTACTGGAACTGTGTAATATTCTGAAGAATTGAAAGTTAATGTCAATTTATGTATGTAGCACATAAAAACAACAATTAAGCCACATGGACAAAGTTCAGTGGAAAATTAATTGTCTCTGCTGCTTTGTGCATTTCTTATATCCAAAGTATAAACATTTCATTTAAAGAAAAATGTCATTAGTTTGACTAAAACATTTGAAATGCATTTAAACATTTTTAGTTTGACTAAACTCGAGGCACATTTAGACGTGTCGGCTCTCTGCTGCACTCGTCCCACTGCACTTCAACTCAGAACCCTTCAGTGACATGATCCAGTAGGCTGTATGTTTATTAATTTGATGTTCAGACCAGGACCAAGACCTGAAACCTTCCTGTTGCACGTGTGTGGTACTTAAATGGAGGAGACTCACACCTACTGGTTGCACTGTTTTTGCATGTTCATAATAAAAATGAACAAATTTTCTTGGATAAACTTTAAAAACAGCAGGTCGATGTACGGCGCACTCACAGGTTTCCGAGCTGCATTAGAAGTTGAAGGATTGTGTAAAAATGTCACATCGTTCAGTTTTTATTCTCTGAAAAACGAGTTCATTTCTGAAGCTCGGTGGTCCTATAGCGGGGGTGGGCAAGCGCCCCCCCACCCCACCCACAAAGGGCTGCAGCCTGCTGAGGACGGAACTATCAGGTTAACTTAATTCTGACAAATTATGTCTTTATAATTATTTTTAAAATGTGATTACTTGATAAGAGTAAGACGCAAGTGGACAATAAAAATTTGAACCAGCCATACAGAAAATATAAACTTTAATAAATAATAAGTATTGAACATTTAGAAAAATGTTTGTAAAAATGCTTATAGCATTTCAAACACCAACATCGATCTAGCAAAATAATTGTAAAGTTGATATGAACTCTGTAAACATCTGGATTTGTAAGCGGAGGTATCTTTTTTTTTTTTGTGGTAATTTTCATGAGCCTGAGAGCCAGAAGGAGACAAATGACATAATACTTGCCCTCTGGTGTGGCCCACGTGTATTCTGTAGCATTCTGGGTAACTGTTTTCCCTCAGAATGCGGCTTCAGCTAAGATTTCTGCACGCTAGTATCAAAAAATTAACTTTTTAGTTTTCTTTGAAAATAATTGTGATTTTCATTCATGTAAAAAAACAGCAAGAATACCAACTCATAGTAAAATAAAAAGGAAAATGAGATGCAGTTTAGTAAATGTAAGTTTAGTTGCAGTGACCTTACGTCTGTTAACGGACCTGCAGAGCTGCCCGTCATCGGTTGTCGCCGCCACCGTCATGTGGACGTGGTGTGCAGGGTCAGGTTGTGTTGGAGCTGCACGTAGCTTTGTGTTAGGTGGAAAACCATGTGTCTGCTTTGTTTTTCCACCTGCACGTCTTGTTTTTTCCAGAAAATTTCTCTCCAATCGGTTTTTGAATAAATTGTACGTCCTTAACCGATGCTCAGTTTTAATCCACAACACCCCAAGTTTTTGTTGGCTCTTTTTATTTTATTTTATTTTTTGACTTCCTCCACATTAGGTACTTTTGACATTATTGCTGTTAAATATGTTTATTTCCTAGAATTGGAACCTAATTTAAACATTTCTGAAAGACATCGAGGTTTTTCCTTCACACTTCATCAGTTTTTCTTCACTTGTCATACGATGGTTTAATGAAACGGTGCATTCATGTAGTTCTGCAGTAAACGGCTGCGTGATGGTTGTTTTGTTCTTCATGTTGAGACAAACAATCTGAATGACCCACAGAGCAACATCCTGTTTGTGCTCCAACCAAAGCTTGTTAAGTCTACGTCAGTTTCTGTTATTGCACCAACCTGATGGTTAAATGAACTCTGAACTTTGTCTCCACAGATATATTGTGCTGACCACCTCAGCTGGCATCATGGATCACGAAGAGGCCAGACGGAAACACACAGGAGGCAAAATCCTTGGATTCTTTTTCTAAAAATGTAAAGAACTGAAAATAAAAACAACCAGAGAAAAGCCTCAAGTATGTTTGTTTTCTATACAAAATATCGTGAAGTGTTTGCTCCTTGAAATGTGCAGCTGGTAGACCTTGTTTGAACAAAAATATTGCAGAGGTTTTTTTTAAGAGTTTAGACTGATGTTGCAGAATGTACAGAATTATATTGTTTACAGGTCCTTCTCAAAAAATTAGCATATTGTAAAAAAGGTCATTATTTTCCATAATGTAATGATAAAAATGAAACTTTCATATATTTCAGATTCATTGCACACCAACTGAAATATTTCAGGTCTTTAATTGTTTTAATACTGATGATTATGGCATAAAGCTCATGAAAACCCAAAATGCCTGTCCCAAAAAATTAGCATATCATGAAAAGTTTCTCTGAACAAGCTATTAACCTAACCATCTGAATCAACAACGTAACTCTAAACACCTGCAAAAGATTCCTGAGGCTTTTAAAAACTCCCAGCCTTGTTCATTACTCAAAACCACAATCATGGGTAAGACTGCCGACCTGACTGCTGTCCAGAAGGCCATCATTGACACCCTCAAGCAAGAGGGTAAGACACAGAAAGAAATTGCTGAACGAATAGGCTGTTCCCAGAGTGCTGTATCAAGGCACCTCAGTGGGAAGTCTGTGGGAAGGGAAAAGTGTGGCAGAAAACGCTGCACAACGAGAAGAGGTGACCGGACCCTGAGGAGGATTGTGGAGAAGGGCCGATTCCAGACCTTGGGGGACCTGCGGAAGCAGTGGACTGAGTCTGGAGTAGAAACATCCAGAGTCACCGTGTGCAGGAAATGGGCTACAGGTGCCGCATTCCCCAGGTCAAGCCACTTTTGAACCAGAAACAGCGGCAGAAGCGCCTGACCTGGGCTACAGAGAAGCAGCACTGGACTGTTGCTCAGTGGTCCAAAGTACTTTTT